CCCGCTGCGCCACCAGGGAGGGCCTCCTTCTACTTTTTACTCCTTTCCCCTTGATCCAAATATTTGGGCTACTTGTTTTAAAAACAGTGGTCACTTATATTTAACTTAGTATTTTCCATTTACTACGCTGACAGATCAATATGGTTCTTTTAATATCATCAACTTACTGGTATAAAAACTGGAGACATTAACCAGGTCATAGTCACAAAGCTAGTTAATTAGTGAATTATTCAAGATATAAACCAAAAGCATTTTGTCTTCATAGCTGAGTTCTCAATTATGAAGCTATGGTTTATTGTTTTAGAAAAATGTGCTAAATAAATTTTATGTTTAAAAGAAAAAAAGGGCCGTCCCTGGCAGCACGAGGGGTAAAGTCTCAGCACTATAAAGCTGTCTGCAGCTAATGCAGCAAGAGTTTGATCCCCAGCCTTGGCAGTGACCCACACGGCATGACAGACAAGTCCTGACCAGCCCACTGCATCCCTCAGCAGTGTATTTCAGTCAGTCTGCCTATTCTGCTCCCCATTCTGTCTCTGGTGAGTCCTCTTACCCCCTGCACCTCTGGCCTGTACCCCAGTTTTTCTATGCAAAAATAAATCTTATTAAAAAAATAAAGGGAAAAAGACATTCTCTTTTATATCAAATTCAAACGGCACTACTTACCCCAAAATTTTATACCAGCAAACTATTCACAAGCATATATACAAAATATATATGCTATGGGACATTTGTGAAATACTTATTTGCAAATTTCATGCTATTCTTCAAACTCAACCTCAACGAAGCTATGAATTATCTATCGTTAGTCTCTTCCTTCCTCACACTGATTCCCAATTGTTCCTGACAATTTAAAGCCATGTGCACTGCCCAACCACCACCTTTATGACACAATTCCTCCCTCACGCATTGTCCAAACCCATCAACAATTCCCAAGAGCCATCATCCCCACCTGTCACTATTGTATGATAATTTAAACACAAAGATCTATGAAACAGCATTAGCAGCTGTGGCACATTCTGAGAACACACAGTCAGACAGCTTGCACTCTCAGACTTAGACCAAGTGAGCGACAGATGGGTAAACAGTTTAAAAACAGGTAACTTTTCCAGAGAAAGCATAGCTAGACTTTATGAAGCCAGCCTCAAGTTGGCCATCATTTGTGGTAAACCATTCGCCACCAATTCTCCTGAGCTGTTTGTCACAAACTGGGTGCTTTTAGAGTTGGCAAGTAACATGAGTCTATGAATAGGCTAGGTGTGTAACACATAGCTCAGGCTGTGGCTGTGGCCACATGGAGAGTACACATCCTGTCTGAAGGCATTCAAGTTCATTCTTTTCTAAACATCAAGCCTGCAAAATAAAACATGCCTGAAGGCCTAATGTGATTCAAGCTGCCAGTTTGTGACTTCTGTCCAATAATATTTACTGTTTACTACATGCAGGTTCTAAGCACATGACATGTCTTACTTAACTCATTTACTTTCCACAACCCTCAAGGTTATGATGATTTTGCCCATTGTACTAATGAACCAACTCAGTGTTAGCAGAATCTGCTGAGGTCAGATCTGGGATTTGAAACTTTATAGCATTATACTGTATCTAAATTTAAAAAATTTTTATCACACAAGGGTATGTTGCATATTTAGTAATTTATTTGTGCTTGTTGTTGAATTAACAGGTATATACAATCTGATGGAAAAATACATATTCATCTTTTCATTGTTCTATAACGAACTGATCACATTCCCTTTCTACTGCTGTCTTACTCATTTGAAGAGTCGTAAGTTTTAATAAGTAGCATTGCTATAGATCCAAGAAATGTATGTTCATATAGGAAGAAGCAGGTAGAGTGAAGTATAGACATTTTTTAAAAGGATTTATTTATTTATACATACAAGAACTGGAGTCTAAGCCAGAGGTGGGGTAGGTGAAGGTATTCACTAGAGACAGTGTGGGGAGCAGAACAGGCAGATTTACTGAAATACAGAGAGGAGTAGCAGGCATGCGCGCGAGAGGTCTGCTGCGCCATGTGGGTCAGCTCCCCAGCTGAGGGTCAAACTCAGTGGTACAGTGGCTGCGGATAGCTTCATACTGCTGAGATTTAACTCCTTGAGCCACCAGGGAGGACCAATAGAAGTTATTTAATGTAGTCTATTAGCTTCCCAAATCCTCTTCTCTCCTCCTCAACCACTTCCAGTAACATTCCCAGTTCTGGGTGGTTTCTTTATGGGTACAAATTAGTAGTTTGTACGAAATGAAAAATAAACAATTTCCAATTACCATCTGCATGTTTATAACTCTGGATCTTTCTGGAAAGGCAATCAATTAGGCCAGTGTCTTCAGAATAGTCCTATTTATATGAACTAAAAGAAACTGAAGGCACCTGGAGATTAGCTAAAACTGGCAAAATACAAACTTTCAAGTCTTTGATCTCAATTTAAGAAGTTTCACTAGACCAGGGGATGTGGTCACTTTTTATGCATAAATTTTCCTAAGCTCTCTGGACACTGCATTCTGTTCTTTTTCCTTAAGTTAGTGAAAGCCAAAAAATTAAGTCTTGACATAGACCATCCATTCTCCCTCCAGCCTTTATTCACATTGTTCCCTCAGCCAGGATTTGCTCCCCAAACCCTGGCTCCTACCCAAACTTCCTGACAATTCTTGCATGCCACATCCTCTGGAAAACCTTCTTGTATTTCCACAGTGGTGATTATGCCCCAATGAATATATCCAGTGACCAGCACTTAATATCTATTTCAATTACCTACTTATTTCACACTCACCTAATTTGTAGTGGGCATTTTTATAGTAACTATAAACTAATTTGTACCTGAAATATATGCAGTAACACTTACTGATAAAAAAAAAAAAAAAGTTGTGCCCTTGAGCTTTTTAAACTTGGCAGTTTTACAATCTCAAGAATGGTAAAAACAAAACATGAGTTGTGGGCTTTGGCGTTAAAATAAGGACATGGCATCCTTCTAATTTTAATAGCTGTATGACATTGAAGTTAACATCTCTGAAGCAGTTTTATCATTTGGAAAATAAAGACCCACTTCTTCTATGATGATTAATGTATAAGAGGACAGAGTGCTTCAACTGTCTAAGTCTGTGCTCAGACTCATACAAGTGTTAGATACTGTTCTATTTCTCATACGTAATCAAAAGGAAATTTAACCAATGAGAAAGAATACTGCTGTTGATTGGGAACTATTCAACACATATATTATAAAAATACTCAACTTTACCTATACTGAGATTACTCAGTAATTTATTACTTTTTTTCTCTGTTGCTCTCATCTAAAGAATCAAAATATATTTTAAATGGTTTAAAAATATACTTCTCTCCTTTAAAACATTCTTATCATAAAAGTGTTCTTTCCTAAGAACACTGACCTCATCTAAGGGCATACCATTTATGCCAAGAAATTAATAGTACAGTATATGTCACCGAGTAAGGGCCTATTTTAATCTCTAGAAGACCAGAAACTTAAGTTCATCCAAATCTCTAAGCGTCGTATTTGAAATGGCATAGAAAGTATTTTGAAATTATTTACTTTGTAGTAAATTGGCTGCTGAGCCAATAAAGAATAAGTCATTCAGTGGAGTGTTTAAACCCTTCTGCTGAAGACTCTTAAGGCAGGAACCAAGATGCTCAGCAGCTGATTGGTGCCAAATTTAACCTGGGAAGAACCACAGACAAAGCTTACTAACAAAGGCTGTCTCTAAAGATCCCTTCAACCCTAGACTTATTTAGAATCCCAGGAGGAAATATGTCCCCAGGAGGAAATATGTCCTATTTCCTCATATCTACCTTTTCTACATATGCTAAAAGACTCTTAAATAAGTCCCATAATTAAGAGGGTATGCTTTCAGCATCAGTGTTCAACTAAGCTTATGCTAATGTATAACTACATTGCATATTCACACAACTATACATTTATTAACTGCTATGTACTGTAAATCAGAAGCCATTTTAGGTGCTGAGGGATCTCAAGATGGATTAACCAATGTTTGGCCTCAGTTTTGAGTTTTATTTGCAAAAATGTTATATTTTAAGTCATCACTATCTCAAATGAGGTTTTGTAGCTGAAACCAAAAGGTGATAAAACCAGAATAAGTAGGCAGGAGACAAGGTCATTGAAAAAGTGGGAAAACTGGTTTAATCCTGGTCTTGGAAGTCAGAGGCTCATTCATAGTTTTCAGTTTTATTTTTTGCAATTAGCATATCTTCTGTAATGAAAACTTTTTTTAAAGATTTATTTATGCATATGAGAACAGGGATACAGGCCAGAGGTGCAGGGGGTGAGAGGATTCACCAGAGACAGAGTGGAGAGTGGAATAGGCCAATTGATGAGAGAAGCAGAGGGCAGGACAGCCATCTGGGTCAGCTCCAGGACTGGGGATTGAACTTGTGCTGAGATGGATGTCAGCGGCTATCTTCATGGCACTGTGCTTTATTTAACCCACTGCGCCACCAGGCAGAGCCTTTTTTTTTTTTATCTCATAGGGTTTTAAGGAAAACCATATGAAAACACCGATGAAAGTATATGTTTACTGCTAGACAGCTCAACTAACAGACCAATTCTGAAAAAAAGGTAGTAACAGCTTAATGAACATTCAATACAATTTTGTTCATAGTCACAATACTGCTAATGACAGACAGTGAAGTGGGTTTAAAGAAGAGAATTGAGTTTTTAAAAAAGTTTTCAGCTCAGCCAAATTAGGGTTCCAGTTCTTGTCAGTCAGCTGTCTTTCTGCCTTCACAGGGAGAGCACAGCAGATACTGACTGGGCTAGTGAGACAATGGTAGTTCTTGTGGCACAACCTGGGACAGCTTCCCCATCTGCAACTTCTCATCATTTCTGCAAGCTACTCACACTCACACCCATCCAATGAACCCCTTTTTTCCTACAGTAAACTGAGACCATTCCTGTTGTTTGTAAGTAAGAACCTTAACTAGTATACTTTAATAAAACTAACACATAAAAGTAAATTAGTATCAGTACCATCAAATAATTTAATATCTTTTTCTCCAGGACTGGATATACAAAGATAATGGAAGCAGTGTGTTCTTCTGTTGTAAGGATGGGTGGAAAACATCAAAATCTACTTGTTGAATTTTCTTTAGATAGTCCTCCAGAGCAACCTAGAAAGAGAAAATAGTGATCACTGGACTATGAAATAATTAAGTCTTTAAAAAGAAAACTGTAAGCATTAAGATGATTTCAGCATCCCTGAGATGGTTTCCGATATACTAAGAATTTAAATGAGAAATTTAAAAGGGGAAGAAAAAATAAAGATGTCTTCTAAGAAGTTTCTATTATCCCAGCAAACAATAACACAGAACTATTACTAGAAATATCAAGCTTCTGATTATAATTTGTAGTGTTCTGGTTAAAATGTAAAAGACTGGAGAAATTATAATTTGCCAGGTCTTATTTGAGTTTCTGTGGACAACAAAAGGATATTTCAATCAAGGAAAATGAGCCCGTCACCTCCTCCCACCAAGCACTGTGCCACAAGAGGGAGCTCAAGTTATTTGTTTAAAAACATTATTTGTGAAAAAGCTCAATGGGGTTCCATATTCTCGCAAAATGGTCATTTGCAACCAGGGAGAACAACAGGTTTCCATAATATCATCCCGTGATTCTCCTAACACACACAACTTGACAAAGTTTCATTGGGAAGGGGGACAGCGTGGAAAACACTGGCAATGGACCACACTTTTTATTCTGGGGGTTTCAGTAACTGTTAATTTATAACATATTTAAATAACTTCTTTAATAAACAGAAACCACTTCGGTTTGCACTACACGGTTCTGAGGCCCCACTTCCTTCCCAGTCTACCTTCACAGTTCTCCTAGAGTCCCACAGCACAATGTGTGAGCCAACAGAGATTATACTCATAGAGTCTTCAGAATACTGATGACCAAAAAATAAAAACCCAAAGGAGATTGTATTTGCTTCCAGAGTTTTATCTTTTCACTTATAAATGTAGTATACATACAAACAAATTCAATATCTACTTTTTAAAACCTACATACACAACAGGAAATATGTCCATGAATATGCTTATCTGCCTTATGTTGTATCGGCAAAAACTGGAAACAGTCTAGTTCATTGTCAGGAAAAAAATAATAAATTTGAACAAAGAAAGTTTGTTCAACAAATGGTGCTGGGAAAACTGGACTGCTACATGCAAAAAAAATGAAGCTAGATTACTACTTCACACCATGCACAAAAACCAACTTGAAGTGGATTAAAGAACTAGACATAAGACCCGAAACCATAAAATTTCTAGAAGAAAAGGTGGGCGAAACACTACACGACATACACCTCCGTAACATCTTTAAAGATATATCACCCAAAGCAAGGATAGTGAAGGAAGGATAAACAGTCAAGTGAAAGAGCTTCCGTAAGCAAAAGAGACATTACCAAACAGGGACACACCAGCAGTTGGGAGAAAATTTTTGCACACAATCCTAATAATAAGGACTCACAAAGATATACAAAGAGCTGTTGAAACTCAACAAAAATAAAGTGAACAACCCGGTCAAAAGATGGGCAGAAGAGCTAGAAAGACACTTCTCCAAAGTGGAAATATAGACGGCCAACAGGCATATGAAAAAATGTTCAACATCACTTGTAATAAGGGAAGTGCAAATTAAAACCACAATGAGATACCATCTTACATCTGTGAGAATGGCACATATTAAAACAACTAGCAGCAATAAATGTTGGTGAGGATGTGGAGATTACTACTTCACACCAATCCACTCCTACACTGCTGGTGAACGCAAACTGGTACAACCACAATCGAAAGCTGTGTGGAGGCTTCTCAGACTGCTGAAAATGGAGTTTCTACATGACCCAGCAACCCCATTCCTAGGTATCTATCCAAAGGACACAAAAACATTGACTCAAAGGGCACCTAAACCCCCATGTTTATTGCTACTCTATTTACAATAGTGAAGACGTGGAATCAACCCAAATGCCCCAAGATAGATGACTGGATTAAAAAGATCTGTACATATGGAATATTACTCGGCAATCCAAAAGATAAACTCATGCCTCTTGCAGCAACATGGATGAACCTGGATTGGATCATGCTTAGTGAAATAAGCCAGAAAGAAAAAGAAAAATACCAGATGGTTTCACTCATAGAGGAGTGTAAGGGATCAGGGGAGGAAAAGAAAAAGCTATTATAATGCAGTAAAAATGAAAAAACAACAACTATAAACCAGAGACACTTTACGGGGCTAGAGAGGGGAATGGGATCAAAACTGGCATGGGAGAGTACATGAGACTATGGTGATGTCACATGGGTGAACTGGTAGGGGGAAGTCCACAGGGATTACAACCAAGATGAAAATATGCATAAAATGAAGAATGATGTAAAAAAATTTTTAAAAATTTTAAATAATAAAGAGACCAAACCAAACAGACAAAATAATAAATTTTTCACAGTTAAATACTGTGCTGCAGTAAAATGAAAATACACTATATAGCTAGATGAATGTAAGATAAAGCTTATAAAGAGACATAGAGAGAAGAGTGTTTAAGAGAGCGAGCAAGCGATCTGGGCCCTGCCTTGTGGCTAAATGGGTTAAAGCACAGCACTATCAAGCTATCCGCAGCCACTGTAGCATGAGTTTGATCACAGGCCAGGGAGGTGACCCACATGGTTTGGCAGACCTCTCCCGACCTGCCCACTGCTCCCCTCAACAGTATATTTCAGTACATCTGCGTGTTCTGTGCCCCACTCTGTCTCAGGTGAATCTTCTCACTCCCTGCACTCTGGACTGTACCCCAATTCTGTATGCATAAATAAATCTTTAACAAGAAGAGAGATCCTAGAAGATAAACAGAAAATGATCTATTTTTATAAAGCTCAAAACCAAAACTAAGCAAATTGCTTTTCAAAAAGTACCAAAGCCACCAGGATCCAACATCATACTTGTTTTGGAGGGTCTAACCCTATTGTGTGTCCCCCTATGCATCCCCTTCTGCCCCCTCCCAGACCCCTAAGTGATTCTAATGGAAAGAGTTGAGAACAATCTTTTGAAGTGAACAAAACAAAATCCTTAACCTTCATGGAAATTACTTAAATAAGAAATCATTCATCACCAATAACCATTAAAACCATATACCAAATAAATAGCCATTAAAAATGATATGAAACAATGCACTGACTTAGAAAGAGATATTAGATATCCCCTATATATAAAAAAATAGATATTTAATTATATATAAAGTGCACACAAACAGACACTTTCTGGAAAGTATGAAATTATGAAAATATTTTAATTTCTTCTTTTCCAAAAATATTAATTTACAATAAGCAAAGCCAGTAAAGAAACAAAATTATTTTGAACACTCAGGCCAGAGACCTAGGATAGATGATACAAAAGCAGAAATAAATCTCTAAATTTATTTTAGAGATAATGGTAGAAGATAGTTTTGGTATTATAGAACATGTGTGAGTTTTCAATTTTAATTTTCCGAGATCATAAATCTTCGAACATTAGTGTCTAATCTATAAAACGAAGTAATTCTCAACTAGATGAGCAGGAATAATGTATGCAAAGATGCAGATCAGGGCTTAGCTATAATATGTGCTAAGTAATTTGTAGTTATTCTCATTTTTAAAACACATTTTGCAACAATGGCTCCTGAACCAGGGGAACTTTTTAAGATCACAGATTCTTCTAGAAATTGTCCCCCACCTTCCAGGTGCTGCAAATTTTATATGTAAGAAGATTCCAGGAACCTGTATTTTGAAAGTTTTCCAGGCTTTTCAGATGCAGCCAGCCCAGAAGTGATTTGTGAACAACTGTTGAGGAACCAGTGGTACAACAATCATTACAGAGGAAAAATAACTAATATTTATATAGCTATAAGCTCTTTCAAGTAGCTTCTTTTATGATTCCCATTTTACTTGTACATGACCCGAGGAATACAGTGGTGCTATGTGCAGTAAGAGGCAGAGCAGACAGAAATTCCTGCAGTCCGACTGCAGTCAACATGAAGGACAACTCCACTTGCCACCCTGGGGAAATAGAAGGGTGACCATCATCAACAACCAAATATAATTGACAAGGTCCACTGTATGAAAGGAGAAGAAAAAAAAAGAACTGCACTGGGAGCTTAATAACATAGAGATCACACACATCTGCTTTATTAATTATACTGCCTTGTGTGTTAATCGACTCACCGTCTGAAGAAAAGCAGGAAATGCTTTCACAGGAACACTTTTGTAGAAGGATCTAGCCTAAAAGGGAAGACAAAAAGAAGTTGGTGAAGTTGGTTTGAAATATGAATATTTCTTTCTTTCTTTCTTTTATTTTTTTTGCTGGTATCATCTTGAAATATGAATATTTCTGAAAATAAATTCTCCCTCTGAAAGCGAATACAAAACAACTTCAGCAACTTAATATGAAAGGGCCTCTCTCCAAAAAAAAAAAAAAATAGTTTTCATCTCCTGGTGATTAATTTCTTAAGTTTGCAGGCCTCAGTAAAATATGCTATGTTAAGAATTCCATTCTTTTGTATAGGTTGGCTTTGGTAGTTGTCAGCTGCCCCATAACTCTTACCCTTTAGCTCCATGGTAAGGGGTAAAAGAAGAAATACTTATATTAACAAACAACAGTATCTTACTTCTTGGTCCTTCTTGGCTGGATATAAGATCCAAACCTACCTACCTACCTACCTACCTACCTACCTACCTACCTACCTACCTACCTACCTAGCAGGGTAGAAAGACACACTATCCCATAAAAGGCAGGGAAATAATGAGTAGGTGGAGCAGAGAGAGCCTAACTGAGAAAGCTGAGGTGCAACTTACTCAGTAAAGGGTGTGTTCAACTGCTGAAAGGGAAAAAGGGTAATTTTTAAAATGTAGAGTAAGTTTATAATAGTCCCGGAGAGAGACCTATTGCAAATTCAATGACATATGGAATAAAGACCACTAAGAGAGGTCTTTATTGACCACACCTGAAGAATAGCCGCATCTACAAATGAGTTTCATAGATGATTTAACATATGGGGTGACTTACATGGTTTAGATGCAAGTGTGCCTGACTGGCAATGTCATATACCACATCTCTCACATTCTTATCTTGGTTCTTCCTTAGAAAATCCTCTTGTGAAACACCATGCTGTGTGGGAAAATAAACATTACATTAGGGAACTAAAAGCATATAAAACTAACAGGTGGAAAAACAGTGTACACAGTATAATGTCTATTTTGTTTTTAAAAATATATATGCGTGTATGTGTATGCCTATAAGAATATGCAACAAGGCAGGAATTAACAGCAGTAGAACAAAAATACAGAAGAAAAATAATATGTAAGAATTTTAAAAGAACAGACAAAACAGGTCTCATTACTGAGAAAACTAAAGTTCTCATAAACAATTTTTTATGGATTAACTCCTCTTAATGTAATGAAAAAGCTAAAGTGAACACTGAAAATAATTACTGTAATTGCGTGGTCAGGAATATGGCATCAACATGGAGTTATACCCAGTGAGATTCTCTGAACCCTCTTATTCATAGCTCCACCAGACACCTGAAATGCTAGCTGAAAATATTCTGACCTTATAACTCTGAAATAAAAAAGTAATAAGCATTTGTTTCAAAAAGTTACTTGAAGAGACTAAACAAAGAATCAAGAGATAACTTCCCTCCCCATATTTCTGGAGTACATTTTCACAGGGTACAAATAACAGCTGTACCAGCATACAAATGTCCATGGGAAGAAACACTCTTCTTCTGCTACTATGATAGGGGGTTGCTCTCAAGCAAGTGACAATGCCTTGTGCTTTTCCAATGTGACTTGCAGCATGATCTGCATGAAGATCCCTTATACCTGCGATTTTAGAAATTAAACAATGCATAACAAATCAGTAGAAAGAGCGTGAGAAATCACCCACATGCATAAATGCCAGTGTTTATCCTCTGTTTTTTATCTGAAAATCAGGATTTATGAAAGCACAGATGGTCAAAGACAAGCTGACCATTTACCACTAACAGGTTTCTGAACTTCAACTTTTAAATAAAAGTTTTTCCCAGACTCCAGCATACCAAGAACACATTTGGAATTTTAATCAGCTAATGTGGAAAAACATTACAAGTCTTCCATTTCTTCTCTTTGGTGCAATTTCCATATGACCTCATTTTAAGTATATGCTTAACAAGCATTCTGCTCTTTGCTCCCTTCTTTCTTTGTGTTGGCAAACATGTCACTAAGTGTGCAGGCAGAACAAGCCTGGGAAATTCAATAGGGACTTGTGCTATTCTTTTAGGGTGACATAAAGATCTATTACCTTCTTCAAATGGCTGGTATTGTCCTGGTCCCAAATAATTCCCTCATTACAATCTTATTATAGTAAGACCTCACCAACTCAGAACAAAGTAAGAGAAGAAAAAGTATCATCCAAATTAGTTTGTTGTTGTTTTTCTGAAGGAAAAAATTCTCCTAAAAACTTTTAGAGATACACTTTTATTTCTCTTACCTTTTTTTAACATGGAAAAGTCAGGCCACAGATCTTCCAAAATGCAAGAGATACGATTTTAGTAAAGTAAAATCTCTAGGTCATCTATAATTAATTACAACATTCCCATGAGGTAGCTAAAGACTTTTATGAAAGCCTCAATATTTCAATTAGTCTGCACTCCAAAGAAAGGTATACATAATCCCCTTCTTGCTTTAAAAAATAAAGAAGAAAACTGTTCTTTTACAGATGGTATAAAGAAAAACCTCAGTGTAGAACTGGTCAGACTGTCAGTTTATGAAAGTGTTAAGTCTAAAAGGTATCATCTTTGAAAGAGTGAAATTAAACAAAAACTTACCCAATGTTTCTAGTGTTAAATAAAGAAGAGAGCTCTGTGTGTTTTCAGCATAATTTTCTAGTTCCTGAATATTACGATATGCTTTGTCATCCAAATTTTTTTCCTGCAGTTAAACAAAATTCCAATAAACTTTGTTAAATTGTCAACATTTTATAGAGAAGGCACTGTTCTTTTTTACATAAAGAGGTGAATAATAAAGAATAAAAATATAGTAAATATAGTTTAGTACAGGATAAAGTAAGGTTAAATTAAAATTAAGATTCTAAAGATTAATACTTACAAATAATCCCTTAAAATAAAACCACAGGAATAATTTCAATGCACAAATTACCATGGATATGGGGTCAAGTTAATTTTCTTTCAATCCACGGTATCATGAGAAACTGACTATACTGAAATCTTAATCACTTTAGACATTATCTTATTAATCCTAACAATGAATTAATACTTTTTTCATTCTGTGGTTGAAAAAATAGTCACAATACATCATGTAGGTCACACAGGGGACAGGATTCAAACCCATACCTTTTGATGAAGCCTATATGATCTTAATAGGAATGAAGTGCCTAGAAACAAGAAAGAATAACCTGCCTTCTCTATGTACCCACTAAAAAAAAAAAAAAACCATGCTCAACTAATTAACAGGGTGATTACCCAAACACAGCATACCTGAGAAACAGAAAAATGTAAATCTTAAAGCAAAAACACCTAGCCACTGTAAAAATACCACTGTCAAGGAAGAATTATCCTCTACCTTTTATTCCTATTTTTATTATTTCAACAATATTTTAACATAATAGTTTATTTTTACATCATTTTGTGCCTTTTCCATCTCACCTGCAATCCCTGTGGACTTGCCATCACCAACTCACCCATGTGCCATCACCATTGTCCCATGCACTCCCTCCTCCCCACCTGGCCATTTTTGCTCCCATTCCCCACTCCACCCCATTAAATGTCTCTGGTACAGAGTTGTACATTATTGTTTTCCCCCCTTGCTGGCCCTTTATGCTCCTGCTCTGAGTGAAACAATTCGATATTTTTCTTTTTCTTCCTGGTTTATTTCACTAAGCATGATCCCTTCTAGCTCCATCCATGTTGCTGCAAAAGGCATATTCTTATTCCTATTTTTAATCAGGAGAAACTGTCACCAGCAATCATCCCAGGGAAAATATGTGCAGGACAATTAATTCATTTCCATATGAATTTAGGAGCAGCCCACTACTTTCTGCAAAAAAGGCAGAAGTTTTATAAGAACTGCATTGTATCTACAGGACAATACAGGGAGATTAATCTCAGCCCTTTACTTTTAAAAATACCTCTTTTGGCTTGTATTAATAATACTCAAGTATGTGGCTATTGATAGCATATATTCAAATAAAATTACAATTTCACAACAACAGTACGTGATAAATATCAGGTCAATGAGGACTCTAAGCCAACAACAGATCAGAAAAATTATACAAGCCAGCCAGGTCATAGAGCAATTTACAAGTCTGACTGGAACTAGAACATAGTTCTAAGAACTCAGTACAGAATTCTAGTCACTGGAACCATTAGACCTCTTTTTCCCCTCTATCTGAAAGACACCAAGTATTAGGTGTACATAGAGTTACGTTACATAACTCCTGTTACTTATATTTCGATGAAATTAAAGGATCATTTGTAATTTTTAAGGTATGATTATTGCATTGTATTCTTACATTTTAAAAACTTACCATCTCTATATTTAAGACCAAATGATACCAAGTCTGAAGATTGTTTTTATTTTTTTAAAAGATTTATTTATGATTACAAGAACTGGAGTACAGCCTAGAGGTGTGGGGGTAAGAGATACGGAGGACAGAGTGGGGAGCAGAACAGGCATGTGGGTCAACTCTCTGGTGGAGGATCGAACTTGTGCAACAGTGGCTTGGAGTGCTACATAGTGCTGTGCTTTAACCCACTGCACCACCAGGGAGGGCCCTGAAGATTGTTTTTAAATAATTCAATGGGAGTTAGTGTGGGGAGTTACTAGAATGTAGATGAAATAAGACTGAACATGTGCTCATAACTATTAAATCTGGATGACACATACATGAAAGTATATTACACTATTCTCTCTACTTTTGTGTAAGTTTGAAAATTTCCATTTGAAATGACACCAAAATAGTAGAGTGTGGGTGTGCATATGCATGTCTCTGCCTGGCTGCCTGTCTTTGCCTGTCTGTCTCAAAGTGTGGGGGCAGGAAATTGGAATGGGTGGCATGTAGTAATGAAGAATGTTTAAAATGGCACAGTTCTCTCAAAGTTCCTTCCTCAAAAATATTAATACATGTATCAGAACATTCCCTGTCCAAAGAATTAAAGATTGAAAAAGAAGGCAAATCTTAAAGAGTTTAGCAATTTCAACTTACCCTTTCATCAATGATTTTCACAAGCCATCTTTTAGTCAGATTATGTCTTTTGACAGCCTAAAAAGTAAGTGTTTTAAGTTTTAGAAAGTACTAGAAATGACTTTTATGGACCTGAATAAACAAGCCAAATACAAAACTAGGTAAGGGAACATATGTATTAAACAATTCATCACCAGGGTACAGCTGTGTTCAAGAAATATCAGGGAAATAGAAAATATCCCCAGGAAACATTTCCAAACAAAGGTAATACATCCAAAACTTTTCTACTAACCTTTCTTTGTTCTTATACTACGTGTAATTTAACTGCTCCACTTTCAAGAGAAAAACAATTAAGTACTGAGCTTCTCTGTTATGTAATGCACCTTGACTTCTATATTTACTTATTACATACAAACTTCTTCCCTAATGATAAAAATTCTATTTAGTGAAAATACCCAGTTCTCAAAAAAAGAAGAGTAAAACTCAAATATTTTCTGTAGGTAAGTGTTATGTTAGCAAATAAGGGTAGCCCAATAGGAAAGAACACCTAATACTCAGTCCTTGGTGTCTAGAACATCCCCTAAAGGAACGGATGAGTCTAGAGCTGGGGTAAGAGATTGAAGATGAACTTGGGAAATTTATTGTGACAGAGAGGAAGAGATCTTGCATATAGCAGAATGCCACGTGCCAATTGGTAAAATTTGGGCAGAGTGCTGGAGTTCAGAAACCATCATCTTGAAATCTTAATAGTAAAGACTGAATCAATTGTACAATGAATGTTATGTTTAGCAGGAAACTGATAAGCAGCAGGATATTTGCGTAGTCAAAGTGGATTGGTTGCAACAGGAATTATAATGATACAATAGAAAAGCCAGGCAATGTTTTGATGTAAACATTATGAAAAAACAGGCAAACCCCAAATGAGAAATGTCCTACACACACACACACAAATAAATAAAATAAATTAAAAAAGGAATGCTACACTAAAACATCTCAGCACCACAGAAAACATAAAGAAGCTACAGATATGTTCCAGATTAAAGTAGGCTACAGATACATAACAACTAAATACCTGACCTTAGACCAGACCCTACACTAGAGAAGAGGAATAATATAGTAAACATTATTGGGTGAACTGCACAAAATTGGAATATAAATGAAAAATTACATAGAAGTATTATATTGTTAACTTGCTAAATTCACTAAATGCCTTGTTTATATAAGAGAATATCCCAATTCTTAGGAAATACTGAAGCATTTAGGGAATAAAGGTCATAATACGTGTATATGTGTGTGTGTGTATGTGTGGTTTATATCAAATTCAGGGGGAAAAACTGAGCATGAAAATATATATACATGGGTTAAAGCACAGCACTAAGAAGCTTAAGCCACTTCCACATGAGTTCGATCCCCACCTGCCCTGGAGGTGACCACATGGCGTGGCAGACCTCTCCTGGCCCGCCCGCTGCTCCCCTCAAAAGTGTGCTTCA